AATTATCTGAGATGGTTTCCAGGATTACGTGACTGGAGCTGACATGACTCGGTATGACACGGTATGACACGGACAGCATGACACTGGCAGCATGACATAGGCAGCATGACACAGATACGACACGGTATGACACGGACAACATGACACTGACAGCATGACATATTATTATTATTATTATTATTATTATTATTATTATTATTATTACTTAGAAAATAACAAGGATGTGCAGATATAACAAATCGATATACAACACCCACACACACACACACACACACACACACACACACACACACACACACACACACACACACACACACACACACACACACACACACACACACACACACACACACACACACACACAGTCTCATGTCGTCAGTTAACCTGTGAGCTTATAAATTTATCTCAATGAGACTGTGCGTCGTGAGTGGTAAAAAATGTTCCTCTCAGTGGCCCACTGCTAGTCAGTCAGTCAGATCTCCATCGCTCTCATCCTCACCACCTCACCACCTCACCACCTCACCACCTCACCACCTCACCACCCCTCACCACCCTCACCACCCTCACCCTCACCACCCCTCACCAAGCCCTCACCACCCTCACCACCTCACCAAGCCTCACCACCTCACCACCTCACCACCTCACCACCTCACCACCTCACCACACTTCACCACCTCACCACCTCACCACCTCACCACCTCACCACCTCACCAAGCCTCACAGAACAACACGGAAATCATCAATTAGTGAGGTAATGGTTCTTATTTACTCATATTACGTGGTCAGCTTCCCACGTGACCTGTTGACTTAGTCGGAAGAGGAGGAGGAGGAGGAGGAGAGGAGGAGGAGAGGAGGAAGGAGGGGTGGAGATATGGAGAAGAGAGGAGAAAGAGGTATGGAAGGGATTGTGTGTGTGTGTGTGTGTGTGTGTTGACCCCATCTTATTATCCTAGCTGTCCTGTTGGGGAGGGGGGGTGGGGAGGGGAGGGTGACGACGTGAGGGGAGAGAGGGTGTGTATGTGGGTAAGCTCTCTCCCCCCCCCCCACACACACACACACACACACACTCCTGTTCTCCCACACCTTCCTCATACACTCTACCTTCACACACCTAAAACAACCTCTCCTTCACACCCCTACACACACACCACATCCTCCCCACACACACCCAAACACTCCACACCCCACACACCCCACACACCCCCACACACACCCCCACACACACACATCCCTGGGCCCTAACACCACAATGACACCACATGACTCTTCATTTTTTTATATAGTTCTTGCAACTCACTGCTGTGGGAACCACCTTCACTCTCCACCTTCTCCCCCCTTTCTCTTCCTCCACATGTCTTGCCCTCCTCTCCACCTTCTCCTCCCTCTCTCTCTCTCTCCCTCCCTTCCTCCCTCCCTCCACATATCTAACCCCTTCCCACTCCTTCCTCCTCCTCCTTTTCCCCCTCCTCCTCCTACTCCGTCTTCCATCTCTGCCTTCTTCTTCTTCTTCTTCTTATTCTCCTTCTTCTCCTTCTTCCTCTCCTTCTCCTTCTCCTTCTCCTCCCCCCCTCCTCCCCCTTCTCCTCCTCCTTCTTCTTCTTCGTTTCTGTCCGTCTCTCCATTATCATTCTCACGTACGTTATATCAACAGTAAAAACAGCAACTGCACATAACCACCGAAATAACCCTATGATAATCTGTATTTTTGCGGGAAAGTTGGTGTCAAGATCCTGTAGCCTGGGAAACGACAGACAGACAGGCAGACAGAAACAGATAGACGGACATAGAAACAAATAGACAGGCAGAAAACAGATAGATAGAGAGATAAAGAGAAAAATAAACAGAAAGTCATACGAACAGATAGATATATAAACACGGATAAATGAGCGGAGAAGGGGGACATTGGGGGAGAAAGGGAGGATGGAAGAAGGGAGGGATACATTAAAGGGAGAATGAAGGGAAGGAAGGAAGGAAGGAAGGAAGGAAGGAAGGAGAGACAGAGAAGGACTCCACACGACAGGTAATACTAGACGTCTGGCTGGACAGGTAAAATGAGCTGTGAATTTTAACAACCTACTTCAGATAATTCATGGGAAAGTCACAGGAGTATAACACCACGTGGGAAATTTGTGTGAGGGAGGTAAGGAGGTGAAGGGAGGGAGGGAGGGGGGAAAGGGAGGGAGAGGTAGGGAGGGAGGAAGGACGGTGGACGGAGGGAGGGAACTGCCGCGAGAAGAAGGAGGGAAGGAGGGAACTAGCGTGAGGAGGAAGAAATAAGGAGGGAGGAAGTCAGTCTCTCATGGTAATCATTATTATAATATTTCCACAGCAGGAAGAACATGTAAAATAATGATGTGTATTTGTTCAGACGAATGAAGAGCATTAAGTTAAGTTAGATTAGGTTAGATTAGCTTAGAATATGTTAAGTTAGATTAGCTTAGATTATGTTAAGTTACATTAGGTTAGCTGAGGTTAGGTTAATTGTCATGTGAAATATGCTAGAGGGACGAGTCTCCAGAAGAGCCGACTAGCGTAACGAAGTAGGCAAGACTGTTGAGTTTCCCCTTAATTTAACATTTTCTCTGAAGTTGAATTGAAAGAAAACGTATATAATCATACAAAAAGAGATAGATAGAATGAATAAAGAATGTGAGATGTATGTTTAGTCATATTTATTCAGTAACAATCGTCATACAAGTTTTTATTGGTTCATCATATAATGTTGGTACATAATGTAGTATATAGACAGTGTATATAAATAATGTTAATACTTGATAGACAGTGCAGGTATTAGGACGGACTCAGGAATAATTCTTACAAAACATCATACAGTATACGAGTTATCCCTGCGAGATATTTTTATTTTCTGTGACGCAACACCATAGAAAACTAAAATATTACTTTGGGAAACTATTCAGTTTTGTTATGTAACTACTCTATAATACAGTATAATCATAAATGTTACTGTTCTTATAATGTTATTACTGCCCCTCAACGACGATGTCTTTAAACACGTAACAGCTTATGCAATAATACACATTTTATACAATAATACACAACTCATACAATATTACGCCAGTCAGGGGCGGATCCTAGGGAGTACAGATCCCCTCTTTTCATTAGAAAATTCCAATACTTTTTCTTTAATGCAGTATTGTACTCAGGCATTTTTATATAGTAAAAGGTAATTACTATTGACGTCGGAATATCTCTTAATATCAAGTGCACATGGTTTCAAAATGTCCACGGTTCGATTGCAGAGTAATTAGTGGCCAAAATAGCAATTGAAATATTTTACTGACATTTTTCAATGCTAACTACTCATCAACTATGGGTTTCCAAGGTGTGATTTAGGGTTTGTGTGTTATTCTGAAAGTACTTAATTAGTTAAACCCCTTAAATTTCAATTCTGAGAACAAAGTATATTTTGGTCAAAAATTTTGTAAGGTGTAAGACAGGGGTGTCAAACTCATGGCCCGCGGGCCAAATGTGGCCCTTTGGATGGTCAGGTGTGGCCCGCGGGATGGTCAGGTGTGGCCCGCGGGATGACGGTAAAATTTATCATCCCGTGGAATTATGAAAAAAATAGATATAATCATGTTTATTTAGTAAAATTAATTTTACATACTTAAGATCAGACAAACCCAAATGATGTATTCCTGGTAAGCCAGGTAAGGCAATGTGTGAAGCTGTAAACCTCAATCCTACAAATATGTGATATAGCACTTGTGTTGGCCCTGAAGAGGATAACTAAAATAAGAATTGGCCCTCGAAAGGTATTGAGTTTGACACCACTGCAGTATTCATTAGTAAATAAAAATAACATATAAACTAGATAATTAGATGTTTATGATATAGTTAGGTAGTATTTATTATTTAAGTCACGAATAAGTGGGAGTTCCTGGCTATTCATATTGTATAGTGTAGCTTTAAGAGTTAATAATCGAATTGAAAATGTTGGTTATATTACAGAAAACAAATAAGATGAAGGATAGCTATTCTATTTTATATCAACCTTCTTGAGTGTTTAAATAATTAAATTTTATTCACTACAGACTATTACACATGTTTACACTCACTAAATACTGTAAATAAATGTATAACTGTAAACAATAAAGCGATTCAATTGAAATCCTCCCCAAAATTATGTTAAGTTCTGCCTCAGAAAACATGTAATTAATGTATCATAATTAATAGCTTTAGTTTTAGTGTAAATAATAAATTAAATTCCTGTTCCTATTTATATATTTTAATGAAAGATTATATAGAATTTGTCTTTATTTGAAGGAGGTGAATATTTGTCTATGAAGCTAGATTTTGTGGTAATACCTAACGACACACACACACACACACACACACACACACACACACACACACACACACACACACACACACACACACACACACCTGTCATAATTAAACATATAGTAATTTACCTTGTTATACCTACGTTGAGTTATGAAATAAGTCATTGGGGAAAATAAACTAGACATATTCATTATCAAAATTCTTTATTAGCATTTTCTTATACAAAGTTTGACAAATAAATGATAATTAAATAGAGATTTGAAACTAATACAAAATTGGCCATTCATAGTAGTATTGTGTGTGTGTGTGTGTGTATACAGGAGATCTTATTGTGTGTATGTGTGTGTGTACGTTATCGTGTCATCTTTCCACCCCTAATATAAAACCATAAACAAAACAACAGCAATTATGTTTACATGACACCTCCTGACACCACCTCCTGACACCACCTCCTGACACCACCACCTGACACCACCTCCTGACACCACCTCCTGACACCACCCTCTCCTGATACCACCTCCTGACACCACCTCCTGATACCACCTCCTGACACCAACTCCTGACACCACCACCTGACACCTCCTGACACCACCTCCTGACACCACCTCCTACCACCTCCTGACACCACCTCCTGACACCACTCCTGACACCACCTCCTGACACCACCTCCTGACACCACCTCCTGACACCACCTCCTGACACCACCTCCTGACACCACCTCCTGACACCACCTCCTGACACCACCACCACCTAACACACTAGTTAAGAGAAACAGTGTTCATCCAAGACATATATGAACATTGAACACTATGGGATAAAACATTACACTGTCTCTTGTTCAATTCAGTTGGAAATTTATTGGTAAACACATTTTATTTATTCACTTACACAATAATCAATAATATACATCATTACCTTTGTTATGGAGATTCGACATAAACCTTGAACTAATACACTCCCTCATACAAAAAATACAGTATATTGTATTACAGTATTGTTACAGTAATGTATTCATAGTCTGATAAACAGTTTAGTGGTTTATACAGTAGAGACAAAAGGGTTTAATGGTGATGCAAGTTGGTGCTGATCAATTGCAATGCTGTAATTGGTGTTATTTTTGCACCAGGTTGTTGAAATATTAACACGAACAAGATATTTGAACCATCACTCTGTCTAACCTAACCTAACCAAACCAAACTTAGCCAAACCTAACCTAAACTAATCTAATCAAGGTAATCTAACCTCCCAACTCAAGCCTAATCTAACCTAGTCAACCAAATCTAATTTAACCTAACCAACTAAATCTAACTGAAACTAACCTTATCTGACGTAAAGTAACCTAACCTAACCTAACCAAACCTAACCAAATCTATCCAAAATTACTTTCAAATCATTAGGTTACATTTTGTGTCTTAGTTAGGTTAGATTTGGTTAAATTTGGTTACATTCTTTTACATTCATATTGGTTAAGTTTGATTAGGTTAACTTTGGTTAGGTTAGGTTAGGTCATTTGCTCTCAGTACAAAATAGAAGTAGCTGAATGATTTTCTTTGTGTTAAGGTCAAGTTAGATTAGATTAGGTTGAGGTTAGGTTACATTAGGTTGTCAGGTTAGGTTAGGTTAGGTTGTCAGGTTAGGTTAGGTAGGATTAAGTTTGGTTAGCTTTGGTTAGGTCAACTTTTCGCTAATAAATTTTTTACAAGTTAATATAACATTATAACACATATTTACAAAATGAATTTACACCACAAGGAAGAAAATTGAAAACAATACAAAAACACAATGACAAAAAAATAAAAAATAAAATCTTATGAATTGTTCCGTAAAAATCAATATTATCAAGTTAAATTCCTTGTTCCTTTAACCCAGCTCTAAATACATCAATCTTTATATATATAGAAAATCACAATCAATATCTATTTTTTTTTCACAACAGGTAGAAGTTGACAAATAACTCGATTATATGACAATGGTGAATGTAAATGGATATATTAGGCAGTATGAGAGGAGAGCAGTAGCAGCAGTGGCGACAGCAGGAGGTAGCAGGTTAATGATGATGGTGGAACCGCCCCGAAATTTTGGCCAACTGAAGGTAAGGTGACCAGCACCGTTGGTCTGCATGGCTGCCGGGGTCTCTCCTGAAATAAACATATAATTTTTATTTTGACATCTTGAGTACGATGACCTAACCCTCTTGAGTACGATGACCTAACCCTCTTGAGTACGATGATTTAACCTACCTGAGTATTACTAAACCACCTTTACAAAGACCAATTAGCCTTGGAACCAATTATATCCTTGGAACTTATTATAATAAGGAGCTATTACGACCTAAACCTTTTAAGACTGTTGACCCATTTGACCTTCTGTATACTGTGTTAGTGACCTCTTTCATAACACCAGAACAACAACACTGGCTGGCTCTCTCTCCCTTACACCAGTTAACAGGATCTCTTGTTCACCTCATATACTGGGAAAAAACTGTAACCATTTTCTTTCCCCTTGTGAGAATTTTCCCTGCTGATAAAATTAATCTACTTAATATAGTGTTTTTTTTTTATTATTTATTGTTTTTGTTAAGGGGATGATGGTAAGATATTGTTGTTGTTGTGATTTATAATTATGATTCAATAAGTTTGGTTAGGTTTGGTTAGAGTTAGGTTAGGTTAGGTTAGCGTTTGGTTAGGTTTGGTTAGAGTTAGGTTAGGTTTGGTTAGCGTTAGGTTAGGTTGGGTTAGCGTCATATTACGTAAAGTTAAGCTAGGTTAGATTGAGTTAGGTTTATTTAGATTAGCTTATCGTTAGGGTAATTAAACCAACGCACTCAAAGGGTTTAATCATCGTAGCCAAAGAATTCAGTCTTTGTTCTCACACTAGTTCCAAGGTTCACGAAAAATAAAAAGATCAGAGATAAACAAAGAAATGATTGGACGACCTGCACGATTGCTCGAACCGGAAATTGGTAAGAGCATAACCCGGAAATACAGGTAGACAGCGGGTGTAGGGATGGTCTCTGGAAACACATAAATGCTGAGGTTAGTGGCAGCGATTCTGTGGCTGCCTGACTATACTGTACAGCTGAATTTGGTTTCCTAAAAAAGAATCGTCGTATCACCTGAAGATTAACCCCCCTAGTTAATCCCCCGAGTGCAATGGTTTAATCCCTTGAGCACAATGTCATCGTACTCAAAGGATTAATTCATCTTATTCATTAAATTTTAGTTAAGTGTGACGTCAAGAAAAAGCCTTCAAACATTCACAATTCTTATTTACCATCTTTCTCATTCCACACACGTTATTCTTGTCTTCCTCACTTCTCCTTCTCATCGTCAATCACAACCACTTCCCCTTTCTTCCCTCCACCCCCAAGTCCCTTCCCTCCCCTCCAAGTCCCTCTCACAGACACATTTCAAAATCCAAGTGACTCTGTGAATGTGTGAGTCATTTCCTGTACGCTACACTCTCCCATGTTGAGTTGAGACAGAAAGGCGGCGAGGGTGAATGAGGGTAGGAGGGAACGAAGGAGAAAGGGGATGGTAGAGGATAGGAGGAGGAGGAGGAGGATAGAAAGGGGAGAAAGATAGGAGGTTGAAGGCTAGAGAAGAAGGCTAAGAAGAGAAGGAGGAGGAGGAGGAATAAAAGCAGGAAGACTATATAAAGTAGGAAGAGGAAAGAAGGTGAAAGAGAATAGGAGGGGGGTAGAGGAAGAACAGGAGTAGGAGAAGGAAGAAGAAGAGAAGAGAAGAAGAGTAGATGACGTAAGAGGAGAAAGAGGAGAAGGAGGAGGATGAGGAGGAGGACATTCTTTGAGCAGGAAGGCTTGACAATAGTAATCCAGCAACAGTTGATGGTCATGTTTACAATAAGGATTCAAAGGAGATAATATATTATTGCAGATACTCAATAGAAGGATAAGAGAGGGAAAGACAGACAGACAGACGGAGAGGAAGACAGACAGACAGAGGGAGAGACAGACAGACAGACGGAGAGGCAGAGGGAGACAGACAGACAGACAGACAGACGGAGAGGAAGACAGACAGACAGACAGACAGAGACAGAGAGAGCAGGAAAGAGCTAACCATCCCTTCTAGCAGAGGTTGAGAAGAAGGTTAGGGTAATTAAAATGATGCCACCTCACACGAACACAGATGATACATTCATTTAAAGTGAATCATATATGTTGAGTGTGAAGGCATAGCTGTAAGAGGAATTATATGCTACAGTCTTATAACACAACTACACAAAGATATTCAATGGCATAGTTAAGTTATATTTCAGGGTTGCTTTGTATAGGGTTGAGTTGAAAAGACCCACAATGCCTGAAAGGAGAATGGTTATTAAATCAGTGTTATCAGTGGTAATACTCGTGCCTCATTGGTAACAGGGGTGCCAACCTGGCCCCTAAGCAAGTGGTTGTTGGTACGACTGATCGAACATAACTAAATTATTTTTACATTTGTTCGAAATGTTTAACTGACTGATGACTCTAAGGCCATTGCTATTGGTTACTATACCCCCATAATATATACGGTATATAATTATCGAATGAGAGGTATAAGTGATTTGTTATAACAGTATATTTTATGTTGGGTTTAAATATTAATAAAGAATGGACTGAAAGTTAAGCCGAAGAGAGCACAACGAACGGATTCACTGGTGCAGCAGTTTCTAAGTGGTCAATGGTCAACTGCGTCAATGTAAACACAGAGTCTGAGTGACGAAGAACGAAAACTAGATCCTGGTAACTGTCTCTGTCCCTGCGTCTAACATGGGAACGTTACAGCATATTATTGGTGGCAAGAATCATCACAATACAGCCCTGGCCAGGAAAAAATAAAGAAGGATTGATACAGAAGTTAAATTAAAGACGCATCCCCAGAGGGCCTTAGACAACACTTCAGCTGTAGGGTGTGGGAAGATCTCGGTGAAAAAGTGAGTCTTATTATTACAGTTTTGTTTGTTAGTGTTGAGTAATACGAGTACATTAGGTAACATATATAAGTACCCAAGCAACCATTACTGTACTGTACTCAAGGGTTAATTCCGTCAGGTCAGGCATAGTTAAGCCGAATGTACTCCCAGTTAGCCTCTAATGGCCTTCACGTAATGCACATTTAACACAATTTCAATTTATGGTTAATATTCGACTTATGGCTGCAGTGGGGTTTTAATATTTGGTTAATATCGAATAATTATTTAAAAAAATATAATATAAAACCAGGAATATACTTCGTTCCTTGTATAAATGTATAGTTATGAGTTATAAGATATGCATGTATGTTCTGCGGGTGGTTAGAACAATGTTATGCTCCTTTGACCACACATTATACAATATTATTAACGGGGAATATTTTCTATGCAGACCTTACGAGTTTATTACTAAATTTGGGACTGATTAAATTTTACCTTACATTCGTTATTTTTTGTTTCTTCCGGGTGGGGTGGGGTGGGGTGGGTTGGGTTGGGTTGAGTTGAGGTGAGGTGAGGGGTGGGGTTAGGTGGAGTGGAGTGGGGGTTGGGTGGGCGGGGCGAGGTTGAGGCCGAGGTGAGGTGAGGTAGACCAGGAAATAGTATCAGAAATCCTTGTGTTCACTGGGAGATCTTCCCAGCACACCGAGAGCTTTGTCAAGAAAAATTATACTTTACCGAAAAATATTGCTGAAGAATACTCATTGGTATTAGTAATTACTTAAAAGACTTTTACTATCAGATACGAAATAAATGACGATATTTTCTTTAAAAGTTTATTTGATGTTTGAGAAAATCCGCAAGTCAGAGGCGATCATTCATACAGGTATAAATTCACTCTTTTAAAATGGTCACACGATTAGCTCTTAAGTCTACCCTTAAAACATCCACTTTTCTAATAGTTTGTACTGAAGTCATGTTCGCTATAAGTATATATAGAGAGATAATGAATAGTTCCCGCTGTGTAAAGAAACGATTCGTCTTCAGGGCAAAGTTGGGTTCGAGCTTAATTACCTACGACTTCTAAATCATTGATAATATAAATTTTTTCTTCAGTGTCAGTCCATCGTTGGGAGGTTCACCGATTGATCTTTCTCTCTGTTTTTGCTCACTCTCTCACACTGTCTCTCTCTCTCTCTTTCACACTCTCTCTCTTTCGGATAATCTTGTCTCTCTACACTTCACAGAGAGGCGATTCGTCCTACACTGTGGTCGTCTCCGTGTCCCTCCTAGCTAAACTAAACTATATATTTATCCTCCGTCAGAAATAACTTCCACCAGTGTGTTCGTCTTTCATAAACACGGTAACTCGAACAACTTAGCCAACTTAAGCGAGAACAAGACCAGAGAGAGAGAGTTGTGTAAGAATGTTTATTTTAGCATTATAATCTTCAAACTTTTCATTTTAAACTTTAACTCGTGTGTTTACGTTCGTCATTTGTTTACGCGGAGAGAGAGGGAGGGAGGGAGTTTTTTTTACGTTTTGTCAACTTTGTCTACGAGGGTACAAGTCATCATTACTCAAAGATGCTCATAAAAGAATAGTGCTGTACTGCATAACATATCTTCTTTACAATGAACGTAGAGATCCTTTGATTGGTTGTTATGTTTTTTTACGTCATAAAATAAGACCCATTGATTGGCTACCATATATTTCTGACATCTGAAATAGAGACCCAATTATTGGCTGTTATATCTATGACATCATAAAGGATGACTCAATGATTCGCTGTTGCCGACATGACGACGCTGTTTCTAGGGCTTAAAGGAATCCCCTGCTCTATATCTACGAATAATATCAATACATTTGGTAAGAGAATATTGGATCCAAATCGATGACATTGGTATAACAAGTAGCTACGTCCCGAATTACGAGCGGAAAGAATTAATATCAAAACCGCCGAGGCAGGTAACGGGTTATATCTATGACGCTATCACCCAAGAACCAATGGGCCACTTAGGTTTTTTGATGACGACATAAAAGCAGAACCAATGGCTTGCTCATTCCAGTTCTGACGTCACGGGCTCTATACCAATGATATTTACACAGCATCACCATCAACAATACAGCTCCAATACTTGTAATATTACCCAGATATTCTTAATATTGCCCAGATAATCCTCATACCTCACAAATACACCTAAAATATTGCCCAAATACTCCTAATATTGCTCAAATACTCCTAAAATTGCCCAAATACACCTGGGAGGTATTTGTTCCGTGTATGTTGTCAGGGCAGAGCATTAGGGTAATGTTGGTCCGTTATTCACCCACAAAATCTCGGGCATTTGGCAACTGTGTATACCCAGCTGATGCCAGTCTATTGTTCCTGAGTCAGTAGTGTTGCCAGTCTATTGTTCCTGAGTCAGTAGTGTTGCCAGTCTATTGTTCCTGAGTCAGTAGTGTTGCCAGTCTATTGTTCCTGAGTCAGTAGTGTTGCCAGTCTATTGTTCCTGAGTCAGTAGTGTTGCCAGTCTATTGTTCCCGAGTCAGTAGTGTGTTGCCAGTCTATTGTTTCAGCCAGTAGTGTTGCCAGTCTATTGTTCCTGAGTCAGTAGTGTTGCCAGTCTATTGTTCCTGAGTCAGTAGTATTGCCAGTCTATTGTTCCTGAGTCAGTAGTGTGTTGCTGCTAGTCTATTTTTTCCTGAGCCAGTAGTGTTGCCAGTCTATTGTTCCTGAGTCAGTAGTACAAGCGGCCCATTGGTTCCTGAGTCAGTAGTATTGCCAGTCTATTGTTCCCGCGCGAGTCAGTAGTGTGTTGCCAGTCTATTTTTCCCGGAGTCAGCAGTGTTGCCAGTCTATTGTTCCTAGAGTCAAGAAAAGCAGTCTATTGTTTCAGCCAGTAGTGTTGCCAGTCTACAGTTCCTGAGTCAGTAGTGTTGCCAGTCTATTGTTCCCGAGTCAGTAGTGTTGCCAGTCTATTGTTCCTGAGTCAGTAGTGTTGCCAGTCTATTGTTCCCGAGTCAGTAGTGTTGCCAGTCTATTGTTCCTGAGTCAGTAGTGTTGCCAGTCTATTATTCCTGAGTCAGTAGTGTTGCCAGTCTATTGTTCCTGAGTCAGTAGTGTTGCCAGTCTATTGTTCCTCCTGAGCCGCAGTGCCGCCAGTCTATTGTTCCCGAGTCAGTAGTGTTGCCAGTCTATTGTTCCTGAGTCAGTAGTGTTGCCAGTCTATTGTTCCCGAGTCAGTAGTGTTGCCAGTCTATTGTTCCTGAGTCAGTAGTGTTGCCAGTCTATTATTCCTGAGTCAGTAGTGTTGCCAGTCTATTGTTCCTGAGTCAGTAGTGTTGCCAGTCTATTGTTCCCGAGTCAGTACCCACCACCACCACCACTACTACTACCATCCCCAAGCCCATTAACCCACCACCACTTACCCACCACCACTTACCCACTACTCACCATTCAGTATATGTATCCTGACGGAGGCGGTGGCGGAGAGGGAGGGCACACAGGTGTAGGTTCCCGTAGCAGCGTCGTGGGCGTCGTGTATAAGTAACACCGTCTTGGTAACTGAACCTCGATCTGTGATTACGCTCACTCGACTATCCCGATTGTCGTAGTTAATTACCTGCCGAGGGCCAAGTGCTTGTTAGTGCTGCAGGTAGTTAAGGGGGTTGTTAGTGGTGTTGGTAGTTAAGGGGGTTGTTAGTGGTGTTGGTAGTTAAGGGGCTTGTTAGTGGTGTTGGTAGTTAAAGGGGTTGTTAGTGGTGTTGGTAGTTAAGGGTTGTTAGTGGTGTTGGTAGTTAAGGGGGTTGTTAGTGGTGTTGGTAGTTAAGGGGGTTGTTAGTGGTGTTGGTAGTTAGTGGTGTTGGTAGTTAAGGGGCTTATTAGTGGTGTTGGTAGTTAGTGGTGTTGGTAGTTAAGGGGTTGTTAGTGGTGTTGGTAGCAGGCTGTTAGTAAAGGTAGTTAAGGCTGTTAGTGGTGCTTGGTAGTTAAGGGTTTGTTAGTGGTGTTGGTAGTTAAGGGGCTTATTAGTGGTGTTGGTAGTTAGTGGTGTTGGTAGTTAGTGGTAAAAATAAAACGAAGGGATGTAACAAAAATACAATAACATGAATAAATGAACAAACACAATAAAAGGAAGACATACAACACAAACACACAAACACAACAACACAAACACAACAACACAAACACAACAACAATACGTCATCTGAGTTGCCAACTATTGTTTTTGTGGCATATTTTTGGGGGGAGTAAGTTGTGAACATCATATTACTTTTATTTTAGTCTATTATGCTGTGTTGGTCTTGTACTTTTGTTGTTTTGTGTCTGTCTGTCTGTCTGTCTGTCTGTCTGTCCGTCCGTCCGTCTGTCTGTCTGTCTGTCTGTCTGTCTGTCTGTACTTACCTTGTTGTTATGGTACCAGAATATCTCAGTAGGTGACTCTGGGTTGAAGTTAATCATGCAGGTAAGATTAATGGTTGACCCGCTGTCGACGTATCGTTCTGCCGTCCCCAAGATTCTTGCTGTGGGGACTGTTGGGAGTGAACGTTAGTGGTTAGTGATAGTGGTTAGTGTCTGCCAGTTCTTATTGGTAGTGTGTGATAGTTGTTAGTGAATGGCAATGTAATGTTAGTGGTTTTCAACGTCAGTGGTTAGTGATTCTAACCTAACCTAACCTAACCTAACCTAACTTAACGTCAGAGTTTAAAATCACCCCACACCATCACTCCTCCCTAGCACACAATGTATATAATAAAGGTAAATTTAACCCCTACAACTACACACACACACACACACACACACACACACACACACACACACACACACATACACACACACGTCAAATGCAAAATTCAGAAACAAAACAAGTTGACGTGTAGAACAATACAGGGAGCCGACTGTACTTGCTTGTCAGTCTCTGTCAACATGTCTGGTGGGCGCTAAGGGTCTCTGGACACACACACAGACACAGACACACACAGACAGACAGACACACACACACAGAAGCTTTGTGTTCTTACCTCTATCCCTGGTTGTAAAAGGGGGGTTGGGGATAGATACAAAGGATGGTAGGATAGAGGAGAGAGAGAGAGAGAGAGAGAGAGAGAGAGAGAGAGAGAGAGAGACGAGGGATTTACCTTTATTCCCCAGGTGAGGGGGAGTGGTTGGGTGAAGGGGAGTGGTGGGGTGAAGGAGAGAGGGAACGGGTGAGGGGGAGGGAAGGAGTGAGGGAGAGGGAAGGGGGGGCATCTGTTTATCTCTCACTGCAGAGATAACAACGATATACTGTTCCATGATGTTATTGTTTGTTACCATTCACGTACAGAACACACAAACACAAGATACACACAATCTTAAGAAAATACTGTGATATGTATCTAAACTTTTGTGTGTCTAACGATCTGTAGACTGCCACTGCATCATCATCTCTCTCTCTCTCTCTCTCTCTCTCTCTCTCTCTTTGTTTCTGTCTGTCTGTCTGTCTGTCTCTTCCTGTCTGTCTGTTTCCCTATCTTGACTTCATTTTACCTCCCTCATCCATTCTTGTTTTCATTTCACGTTTTTTTTTCATCCATCCATCTGTTACTCGTAGACCCTTACAACAGTATACCTTTAAGACTGTTACAGCCACACAACAGAAACTACAATAGCTCTTGGTGGGCTTAACTGCTCACAGATTTTATCATTTCTCTAATGCTGACAGTCGCCTAATTGTTGGTAATATAATTATTGAATTGGGCTAGTTGTTGTTAGCCCAGAAGTGTGTGATTGTTGTGATGATCGAGTGAGTTTTTTTTTTTTCGTTGTATAAATTGTATTGATTTGACGTGTGTGTGTGTGTGTGTGTGTGTGTGTGTCGTAAATTAACAGCTCATATAATGTTTTCCCTACACCCCACTTACCACCCTATAAACCCCCCACACCCTACACCACCCCCACCTCCACATCCCCATCCCCATCCCCATAATCCCCACCACACCCCCTCAACACCCGCACTCCTCTCCTCCCTCACCCCACCACAGACTTGTGTAGTGCCGTCTTTAAAGTGTTCATCTTAAACCTGGTGAGGTGACCCCCGCTACCTGTATCCTCCTGGGGGCTGGATGGGTAAAGCTTTTACTAACCATTACTTTATTTTGTGATATATATAGCTCTTGATCGTCCTGAGAGAGAGAGAGAGAGAGAGAGAGAGAGAGAGAGAGAGAGAGAGAGAGAGAGAGAGAGAGAGAGAGAGAGAGAGAGAGAGAGAGAGAGAGAGAGAGACCACAGGGCGCCTCTGAACTGCTGTTGGTACTACATCAGCAGCGGCAACTCAGAGTAATCTTTTAATGCACCTGTGGGAAAACTGGTCTTAAAACAACACGAGATATATAGACCTGTTCCAACACCTTCCTAATATGTGGTGTATATGTGGTACTAACATATGTAGGTGGTCATGTGTTTGTACCTATGTAGACACAGAAACACACACATATATACTGATTTACACACACACACACACACACACACACCAGAGTACAATCAACTAACTACTTACTCGTACCACTAACATGAACCTCTGATTAAGCTAACATTATATTAAAAACAATCATAAAAGACATATTAAAGACAAAACTAAGCCAATAAGACATCAGATAACCTTTATACAGTATGATAACTCTTTCACCTGATGTCATCTTAAATTTCTCTACGGACATCATCACGTATTTTAGGTTCAATAAATTTCTCAGGTGTCACCCACAAGAGTTATGGTTCACCCTGCTGCTATCAGAATCACCTTACACTGAAAATTTTATACAAGATAGAAGCCTTTGGAAGGATCGTGTTGTAATGGATGTCTTTCATATTTTTTTGTATTTTGTATTTTTTTTGTAGGTGAGATTGATGATGGGGTAATATGATTCTTTGATATATTGGATGGATACCTAACCTAACCTAACCAAACCTAACCTAACCTGTAAGCATTAGTCTGTTCTTAGGATGATGGACCGTATGATAGCCTCTTACAGTACAGTATGATAACTTAATCCCTTCGAGTATGATACATATCTAATCTATCTATCTATCTATCTATCTATCTATCTATCTATCTATCCACGTTACTCACCAAACACAGAGAGATAGACAGGGAAGGTTATAGGGTCAGTCGGATGTGTGTTAACTTGACACTCATATCTTCCAGAATCTCGAGGCTGGACTGAGTTGATTTTCAAGATCCAGGATTGTGAGTTTGAGTCTGGAGAATGGATCACCTCAAACCTGTCATCGGCCGTGTAAGTGTACTGGGCTACCGTCAAGATGTGTAGATCTGATACCCTTATCCACGACACCTGTTGAAGAGGAAGGTTTGGTTAGGAGGTAGTAGGGGTTGATTGGTGGTGGTGGTTGGTGTTGGTGGTTGGTAGTGGTGGTTGATGGTGATATTGTTGCTGTTGTTTAAATTAATATTATTATTATTATTATTATTATTTTGTACACAACGTAACACAGTACACACCACACAACACAACACAACACTACTTAACACATCATGCATACAAGTTTTTATTACTGTATATTTAACTCATTGTAATAATCAAGGCTTTTAGAAGTAATGAAAAAAAAAGCTTCCTTAGAGGGGATACTTGTGGTGTGTGTGTGTTTGCGTGTGGTGTGTTTGCGTGTGGTGTGTGTGTGTGTGTGTGTGTGTGTGTGTGTTGATATGAGTATATATATGTGTAGGTGTGTGTATGTATGTGCGTACGTGATGTGTACCGAAATAATTAACCCTCTCCAGGTGACCTTACAACTAAGTGCATCACACCTGACTAATTATCACCTTAATGCTATACCTGATGGGGTTAGGTTAGGCTTCCACCTTGTTATTAGCTCACCTCATATTCTTCTTCTTCACATCATCTCCGTTCTCCTACATTCTCCTAGCCTCCTTCACCTCCTTATCCTACGTTCTCCTAGCCTCCTCCTCCTCCTCCCTCTCCCACGTTCTCCTAGCCACCTCCACCACCTCCTCCTACGTTCTCCTAGCCTCCTCCTCCTCCCTCTCCTACGTTATCCTAGCCACCTCCACCACCTCCTCCTACGTTCTCCTAGCCTCCTCCACCTCCCTATCCTACGCTTCCTGGTCTCCTCCATATCCGTCCTCCTATGCTCTTCTGGTCAATGTCTCCTCTTGCCTTCCTGGTATAATTAATATTCAGTGTAAATAAATTACTACGTGTCTGTGTGTCTCTCTTGCTTAAAGTTGGTGCTTCTGTAGGAGTCCGTTAATCTGTGTAAGTTGTTCCTTGAGGGTGAGTGTTATCCCTTGAGGGTGAGTGTTATCCTTTGAGGCTTCCTTCGTGTCAAACAATAAACAGCTCCCCAAATTATGTGAATACCCCGAGAAATGTTCACTATTGAGGTGGATGATAATATATTGCTATTATTTCCTCAAGTTTCATATTTAATTACAAGATTCCTGAGATAATGATGGAAGTGGTAAGGTTTCAGTCTTACGTGGAACTCGACAACACTGAAGTTTGAATTTAAAGCCTGTGTTTGTCTGTGTTTGTCTGTTTGTCTGACTGACTGTCTGTCTGTCTGTGTGTGTTTGTCTGACTGTCTGTCTGTCTGTGTGTGTTTGTCTGACTGTCTGTTTGTCTGTCATATTGATATTACAGAAACTTCAGTTGTTTATTTTTTCTTCTAAGTTATAAATAAATTACCTGAATCTTTTGCAATAGATTAATCAAATGTGGAAAGTTTCTTGTGGGGTCTAGTGGAGAGGATGACGGGGGGGGGGGATAGATGTTTGTTGTGAACGTCTTGAAGAACGTGTATTATGAATGTGTCTTCATCCTCCTCTCACACACACACACACACACACACACACACACACACACACACACACACTTACCGTCTTATTCCCTCTGTTGTGGACGATACAGTGAAGGTAAGCAATATCGCCCTTCAACGCAGTAACATTCTGGGGCGGCGAGGGATCGAACACAGGACGATCCCAGGGAAGGGGTCGACTCCCCACTCCTGGGAGGATCGGACCTCTGTTGCCATAGTAACTTGAGCTCAGGAACTTGCCGCAAGTATGTGTACCTGAGAGAGAGAGAGAGAGAGAGAGAGACAAGAACGAGGGGTTAATATTATTGTTGCCAGATGGAAATTACTTTAGTTTTACATAAGAATTTACCTGAGATAATATTTTTGTGATAAGAATTTACCTGTGATGAAATATTATTGGAGTAAGAATTTACCTGTAGACTTGCTGTTAATTGTGTCTGGAGAATTTAATTTATAATTCATGTATTACCTTCAGAATTTACCTGTTTTGTTGTGTAATTGTTAAGTTAGGTTAGTTTGCGTTAGGTTAGGTTAGTTTACGTTAGGTTAGGTTAGGTTAGGTTAGGTTAGGTTAGGTTAGGTATCGAAATATTATCAAATAAATCAACATTTTACCATCAACTTTTCCCTCGACTGAAAATATTTGTATGTTTTTGTTGACATTTTTTATATAATGTGAGAGCGTCATAAAAAGGCTTCGTGTCCCAATTATTTACATGACAATAATTTAAATGTCCAGGTTTTTAATGTCAAGATATTTGAGTTACAGAAATTAGAAATATTTTTGTGATAAATGTTTGTGTTGGGAAAAAAAAAATAAATGGTGTATTTTTATTTCAAAGGTTTTAATCAGAGCAATAAAATACATTATTAATTTTTTTTTTGGTGGGGTCGATGATGATGATGATGATGATGATGATGATGATGATGATGATGATGATGATGATGTCGCTGTTGTTGTTAGTGAAAGAATCTTATGTAGTCTAATTCTATGGAGTATAGGTTAGGTTAGATTAGGTTAGGTTAGGTTAGATTAGGTTAGGTTAGGTTAGATTAGATTAGATTAGGTTAGCTTAGCTGTACTGTATGTTTGTGTGTCGTTATGCAGGTCGCCATCCATCAGTAATTAAGGACGCCCGGCTGTGTTATAACATGGTAGTGTAATGTGTGTAGTGATGAATGGCAGAAACGTGATGAATTAGTAACAGCAATACCCTGAAATTAGTCCAGAGTCAATAATGTATATATGTAACAGTCAAAATGTGTAATTAGTCATCTTGTGTAATGTAAACTAACTTAATCAAATTTTAACCAATCATTATCCTAACCTAACCTAACCTAACCTAACCTAACCTAACCTAACCTAACCTAACCTAACCTAACCTAACCTAACCTAACCTAACCTTACCTTACCTTCCCCAACCTAGCCTAACCTAACCTAACATTAGATTGGTTAGGTTAGACAAAACCAGAGAGATGTGATTGGCCCGGAGAAAAATACGTAATGCGGCCCATGACTGAGGAAAGGTTGCCCATGACTGAGGAGAGGTTGCCCATGACTGAGGGAAGGTTGCCCATGACTGAGGAAAGGTTGCCCATGACTGAGGAAAGGTTGCCCATGACTGATGAAAGGTTGCCCATGACTGAGGAAATGTTGCCCATGACTGAGTAAAGGTTGCCCATGACTGAGTTAAGTTATGGTAGACTAGGCTTGATAAAGACAGTATACAATTGGTTTTGTTAGGTTAAAGTAGATTAATATTGTTTACATCTCACAAGTTGGCTAGGCATTACACTAAATGGCTGCTCACACACTTGGACTGTAACATATATATAGAGACATTAGGATGAAGAGAGAGGACTTTTGGCATCCTGACGTTATCCAAACTTAATCTAACACGGTAGATTAGGTTATGTTGGGTTATAGGGTAGATTAAGTTAGGGTAGATTAGGTTGTTAGGTTAGGACACCCGTTTGTAGCTGATCTTCTCATTGGCTACAGCAACACATTTCCTAATTGGTTAAACTGTAATGACGTAATACGTTTTGTTATTTTGGTTCCTCTCTGTTCATCTTTTATGGATTTGTTCAGTTATAAAAAAGTGAACACATGAACAAATTTATAACGTAACAAAAAATGAAAATAATAATAATAAGACAAAATCATTAAATTTAAATATATTGAGAAAGCAGAGACAAGTTATATGAGGTCACGTAAAAAACATATTGTTTTTTGTTTTTGTTTTTTAATTAATATAAAAGGAAAAATGTTTAGGAAAGTCTCAGATTATTAAGTTAAATATCTGAATAACAATTTTAGTCTTAAAACTCTGCTTTTACTTTCCCTCCTTCATCTTTCTTCCCTCCTTATCTCACTCACTCCATCCTTCTTTTCTCTCTCTCTCTCTCTCTTCTTTCCTCCTTCCCTCCCTCCTTTCCTTCTTTCTTCCCTCCTCTTGTCTCTCCTTCCCGCCTTCCTCCCTACTTACCCTCTCCCTCTCTCTCCCTTTCTCCCCTCTTCTTCCTTCCCTCCCCCTCTCTCTCTGCCTCTCTCCTCCCCCCCCCTCCCCCTCACGAATTATTACAGCAGTCAAGGCAGATATTATCCTAGGCTCTTAGTGTTTGTTTAGTGATCAAGGAATGTCTCACCTGAAGATTAAACTTGATACACTCAGCCTCCACTACTTAACCCCTTGAGTACTAGGAATTAACCCCTTGTGTACTAGGATTTAACCCTTTGATATACTCAGCCTCCACTACTTAACCCCTTGTGTACTAGGATTTAACCCCTTGTGTACTAGGATTTAACCCTTTGATTAATAGGATTTAGGTTTTGAATCATCTTCCTCCTATACCTCCTTCACCACATCCTCCACCTTCTCCTCCCCCTCCTTCTTCTTCTTCCTCCTCCTCCACTACATTTCCTGATCTTCTCTTGACCACTGGAGTCCTCTGAGAGCCATCCAGTCTTTACCACACGCTTAGAGGTACAGCTGGAGCCGTTCTGTCTCGACCTCCCAGGATATAAGACACAGACGAGGGATCTTTCACCAACAAGTGAGGCAAGTGTTGTATTGGTCCCGAGTTGGAGGGACTTAAGGTTGTTGAAGAGGAAGCCAAGCCAAGCCAAGCCAAGCCTAGCCAAGCCTAGCCTAGCCTAGCCTAGCCTAGCCTAGCCTAGCCTAGCCTAGCCTAGCCTAGCCAACTCCTGTATCATACGTGTAGCTGACTCGACAAGAGGACACACTTCAAACATCGATATCGTGGTGGCATCTGAGTGAGCCAGACTGATAACCCGGGTAGAGCAGGAAAAGGGAAGTAATTCGCCATCTGTATGTTTATGTTGAGCAGAAGGTCACCAGGCAGCTTTGTGTGGCAGTAAATGAGGGTGTTCCAGGCAGAGATATGTTCCAGATGTGTTCCAGAGGTGTTCTAGGCGGCCAACGGTGGTAGCTCAAAGCGAGAGGAAGCACGCAGTGCCTGCACTTTAACTCTAACATAATGCTGCCACACTAGATGCATTACACCACCCTGTGTGTGCGTACACACACATACAGTATACACACACTTAATGCAGACAGGCAAAAATACACACTCCACTAATGCACACAAAACATACTCCACTGATGCACTGAAAAACACACTCCACTAATACACTCAGAAAAACACACTTGGCAGACAAAAACATAATCCAAGCGATTCGAGAAGATTATTCAACACAGTCATGACACAAACATGTTTACCTAACAGTGTAGTCTCCTCCTCTTCCCCCCCCCCCTCACCCTCTCCAGCCCCACACACACACATCCTGCCGCCCATCCCCCTCAACTTAATCCCTCTCTTTACTCTCCCTATCATCTGTTTATCCACCCACCCATCCAGCCCCACCCACCCACCCAGCCCACCCCACCCACCTAAAACCTCAGGACTCTCTAACACTCACCCACATAAAACACACTCACACACAAACACCCAGAGGCCACTTTCAAACCTCTAAAATCATCCCTCTAGACCTCCAGACCTCGTAGATAATTCTGATATGACTCTCGTTAACCTCTCGTGGAGCTTAAATAGGCTGTTAAGAGTTGTAAAAACGACGCCATTGCTGCTGTTATGCTTCACGAGACCTCTTATGCTGAAAACAACCATTTTCTCTCTCTCTCTCTCTCTCTCTTAATTTATTCGTGTTTGTGAGTCTTTGTGGACGTCAACAAGTGAAATATTCTTAAAAACATCCAGCACCGCTTCCTTCTCCTCACGGTATATGTCTGATTACCTTCTAAATTAGTTTCCTCCACGCAATGATTACAAACAGAAAATGAAACTAAACAGGGAGAATATGTCTAGCTGTTTTTGTTTGGAACGGTAGGGAGGTGTGGGTAGGGAAGGAGGGTGTGTGAGAGAGGGAGGGGGGGGTTCAGGTGCGTGGGTGTGTAGGGAAGGTGTGTGTGTGTATCCGCCCTTGTGGCAAAAGAGCTGTCTAGGTATAACATCGACCTAGCAGCCATTAGTGAGTCCCGGATCCCAAACGAAGGTCGACTCACAGAATGGGGGTATATACTTTGGACGGGTAAGCCTGCTGTGGAGAGAACCCACATTTATGGAGTTGCCTTTCCCATTCACTAATCCATCCTACGTAGGCTAACTGAAATGCCTGTTGGGATCAACGAGCGCCTCAAGACGCTCCGAGTCCCACTGAATCACTCACGTCATGCCTTCTTCATCAGTGCATACGCCCCAACACTGGATGCAGAGGATGACATCAAGGAGGCCTTTTACGCCGACCTTGACAGAGTGCTAACGTCTATCCCCAGAGAAGATAAGGTTGTGCTCCTTGGTAACTTCAATTCCAAAGTTGGCAGAGATGCTGACCTATGGCAGTGAAACGGAGAGAAACGGAGTAGGCAAGTTATCGCCATGTCTTACACCACTCTTGTGTTTAGGGTCCATGAAGATCAAGCTGGTAAATGTAAAGAACGCTGACGCTTCTTTATTTTGATCGTTTTTCTTTAGGAAAACTATTTTGATGTATTTTCAATATAATTGAATCAATGCTGACTGCATTTTGATTTTAATGTATTTATAAAGGAAAGTATTTTCTTAACATTACTAATCAGGGAAAATGTGAAGCTAAAAGAACAGAGAGAGACCTAACCGAACCTCGCCAGGTTACTACGCCCTGCATTCATTCATATTGCCTTTGTTATGAATATTGACACCTATCCCGGATTATATCTACAATTTGTATGTAATTGTTCTTCCGCTATGAATTTCTTTATCGTGTAACAACACAGCCACACTGAAACACATTACCGTAAATCATTATAATTTGATCATAATTTTATTGTGATTATAGTCACAAAAGTAACATATAATGTGCTCATGTACTTAACACTATAACTCTATACAGTAACTGTGTCTCTTTGTCCTATGATTTTAATATTCATTACGTCAGGCCAGGATATTTATGAAAATTTAACACAATATTGCAGTTTTATACAACTGTTCATGTTGATTTCAGAAGCAAGTTGGAAATAGCCAAGAGTTGCAAGCATGTCGGGCAACAATTAGTAGAGTCCAAAGGACAGTGGCAAGACTAATTGCACTCCAAAAAGAAAGGTACACAAAATTTCCTTCACCAGAAGAAGCAGCACATTTCAACCAAAGGTAATCCTAGATTTGTAAATTTTAAGTTATGCTCTAACCTGTATGACTAGCCATGTCAGATATACAGTACTGTACCGACTGTGAGCTGAAGTATTGAAGGTGTATTTAGTACATGTTGAAAGCTTCATCTATCTTTGTGTGACGTGTAAATTGTGTTAAAACGATGTGTTTTGATTGTCAAGTGAACACCTGGAATCAATTTGTGTTTCTCGTAAAGTTACGGGGGTTGCAATTTAAAACTGTAGTTGTATTTCCTTGAGTTACAGACCTCAGAGAATCCGATGAGTGTATTGAAATTATTGTGTTTTGTAGTTAAATTTCTCATTTATCTTGAGGGAATAAGCTGTCACTTGTAGAAATTTTGAAGTATACAACTATATTCCTGGGTAGAACGATGTTGTTATTTTTGACTCCGCCCACAATGTATCGCCATTCTATGTACTGAACATTAGTTTAATTCTTGCTTGGCAAAGCTCGAACACTTGTTCGATTCTAAATGTTAATTTTAGAAAATTAACATACAGTAAGCTCATCGCCTCATTTTCATAAGCCAATGTGTACAGTAACTGACACCGATAAATATGTCTGTGAATTTCCCGACTAAGTAACTCCGGGTGCATAAAAAGGGAGCGCGGAGTTTGAATTGGCCATTCTGAGCGCCCTTCCCCCTCGTCAACCAGGTATGTTGCGCCGTGTCTCACCGTCATATTCAGTGAAATTGACTTAATTGAATTGTGTTGAATGTGTCAGGGTTCCTGTTAACATAATTTAAGTTTTGTGTGTTAATATAATTGTGTCCACGCGCTACCTGTTTCCTTGCACAAGATGTGTTTTGTCTCATTTGTATTATGATTCCATTTCATTCATTCTGAATGCCCTTCCCCCTCATCAACCAGGCAATGTGTGGGTTGTTGGAGCTGCAGGGAGGCGGTGGCCAGTGGCTGTCTGACGAAGGATATCTTTAATTCATCGGGATTCAGATCTTGAGTTGATGGGCCGACGAGAGTGACCATATCTGGAAGGCATGGGTTGGACTCAGGACGAGGTGGAACCTAGCCGCCGCATCATGGAGTGTAAACACCTGGCGTGTTTTGAATACAAAACACAGGGCATCCTGGGTGCAGGCCGTGGTGTGGTAACATCTTGTATGTATCCATAATTGTTGTCTCAGGTATCTGACTTCCACCTAGCAAATGAATACCGATGTAGCCTGTGATTTGACGAGTGTAAAAAGGTACAAATTGATGAGATGTGAGGTAAGGTTGTATCACTGACTCATGATAACTGTTTGCCAGAGTAACTTACACCCCCAAGTGTTGACAGTGATAATAATTACTGTACATGAACAATCTTGTGATGGGTGTTTGACAAGTAGGGTTAATATGAGTAGCACTGTCATGGTCACAATAGCACGGCTAGCATGTTCAACACTTAATTATTCATATTATGCTCCACCGTCCACAAATTATGTGTGAAACTAATGAGTTACCCCTAGAGAGAGAGATGTGTTTTCCCAAACGATAGGTGCCATCCATTTCCTCTTACACATCCTGAAATTTCTCTTACAAAGTTTATTTAAATTTAAGAGATAAGGTTATGAGTAGCCATAAGTCAGATAGACCTACAGTGGGATAAAGCATTCAAGGTGTATTGAGTATATGTTGAAGGCATCATATATCTTTATGTGTAGTGTACCCAACCGCCAGCTGAAATCAGTTTGTTTCTCGTGAACTTACCGGATAACAATTCAAAACTGAAGTCATATCTTTTTGATCTGAGCGCCTCAGATAATCCGATAAGAGCATTGAAATTGTTATCAGTTTTGTATTTTAGAAAGTAATTGATCTTCTGAAATAAAAACTTTCTACTTCTTATTACCAAGATCTAAAGGCAAAATCTCTGTACAGTACCTCCTTGTTAGAAACTCCGCCCACAATGTAGTTCCATTCTGAGTACTTAACATCAGTTTAATTTCTTGCCTTTGAAAGCTCGGGCATTGATTAGTTTAAAAAGTTATTCTTAGAAAATCAATATAAACTCAGACTAATTTCCATAAGCCAATGTGTACAGTAAAGGAGTCTGATGCTTATGTTTTGAGAGGCAGGAGTAACTCTCTCTGTCCTGACAGGCAAGCCCTTACTCCTCTGTATAACAAGTATGCCCAGTACTTTGTGTTCCACCCCATCATATCATATTAAATGAATTTAACTTAGTTGTGCATTGTTTGAATATGCAAGTGATCCAGTAAAATAAACTTTGATGTCTTTAGTAGTGTTCATGCCCCATCAGCTTACAAGACGTATTTTATGACACTCGTGTTTACTCACTCTGCCCTGATTCTCAAGCCTCTACTCCTCTGTGCAGCAGGTGACTGAATAGACCACGGGTGGTCGTTGTACGCCAGGACGACGTCCAACACCAGTATGGAGATGGAAGAAGGCTGTTAAGATCTGATAGCATCGTGTAACACGGTGGTATGATGAGCTGAGATCTTACGTGAAGACAGCGATCAGAGGAGGTGGCCAGAATGTGTTTGTTGTCCACGTGTTGATCTCATGTGTGGAATAAATACGACCAGCTCATAAGCATTGGTACGAGTCCACAACAATAAGTAGTGTTACTTATTGGGTGTGTTATTCATCCGGTTATCCATGTATGTAATCTCAGTTGTATGGATGTCTGTTGTGAACAAGTGTATGAGGGTCGCCACTTTACTTGTCGGCGAATGTAACAAAGTAGTGCAAGGATGCTATTAGTCCTGGTGCAAGGAGGCTATTAGTCCTGGTGCAAGGAGGCTATTAGTCCTGGTGCTATTGAAGTATTAGTGTGGTGCTATTACTAAGCGACCTGTTAGTACGTAAGAGCTAAATGTAAGGGTGTTGCTCAAGTGTGTTACATGTAAGATTATAATGTCTCATTATTAAGTAAACCAAGTAATGGTGGTTGTTGAAAGGTGTAACTAATTGAGAAGAACAAAATGAGTGAAACTATGGAGATGATCCTTGTAGTTTTGTATTATTGAAAGTAGTCATAAACCTAACATCATTTTAATAAACCATCTTTATTGTATGTTGGGGCATCATTATCCCTGCAGTATTTCACCCTTGTTTCTCCCCACATCTTGGTACCATTAATTACAGTCAACCCCTGTGTCCTAACCCTTGAGCCATGCTACCACAGATAAGAGGTTAGGGGGGGGGGGGATCTATGAGAAGAAAAGTAACTAAGAAATAGCTAACTTAAGGAATTAATAAAGTAAGAAATTGAAAGAAAGTAAGTTTGAAGAGAGAACCAATTAAGAAAGAAAAGATAAGAATCACTAGCAAGTCTACGGACTTGGCGCACCCACATTCAACTACAACACGTGTAGAAAGAAGAGAGAAAATGAAATATAATTCCAAAACCTTCCCTACAAATTGGTTAACAGTCGTGGGATAGATAAAATTGAAATAAAATCCACTACAGCACTGTAATTGAAGATGCATCCTGTGATTTAAGGAGAGTAAATTGATTAGAGACGAGAGGTAAGTTTGTATCACTGAATCATGGAGTCGTGATAACGGTGTGTGCTAGAGTAACCTGTATCCCCCAAGTGTTGAGAGTAATAATAATTACTATACACAAACAATATTGTGACTGGCGTTTGAAAAGTGCTAGTGTTAGTATAAGTAATGATGTAGTGCGGGCGACAATCTTTGTTGTGTGTAACTGTCATAGAATGTAACCAGTAACCTATAGTACTCTTGACAAAACTTTGGTCCTGTTGACGTGAATACTTGTTCGGCTGACGTGCAAGTGAGGCCAATAGATCTTTTGACTTTGTATCAGCGTTAACGAAAATTTTGCCAAGTCTTGAGTGAACACCCAAGGAGTGGTTCATGGGTGTATTCTCTGGTAAAGTGTCAGGAACTCAACTTCATTTTTAATAAACTATATTTATTGTATGTATCCTTCTCCTGCAGTATTTACCTTTGTTTCATCCCCCTTACCTTGTTACCATTGAATACAAATGAACCCACGTGCCCCAAACACAGCCAAACTACCACGGCCGGCGGCGCTCCCAAGGGCCATCCCAGGGGCGGCGAAATCCCTCCAAGAGGCGGTGGCGACCCCAGAGACCCTCCGAGAACCGGTCTAGCCTCCAGGAGCACTCCCAGGTGCAGCAACGACCCCAAAGACTTGATTGTGGTGTCGTACATATTGAATACGTCCAGCAATCCCTTACTTAACTGTGATTGGTCAACTAAAATGTAAACGCACCAAATTTCAGCCAATAGGAGAACAGAGCAGTCAGTCAGCACAACACCCCAACTTATGTTTTCCTGTTGGATATTTACTCACCTTTTACTGTTCAAGATGCGATGATACTGGAAATGCGACGGGCGATGTATTTATTTAACGCCATATCTCTCTCACAGTTCTTAATGGTGCAAAAACAACTACCCCCAGGGAAACTCACAAGGGCGACAGCGCCCAAGGTGCCCTCCCAGGTGCAGCGGAGACCTAGGGGATTTATGAGGGGCAGCAGCGCTTTATAAGCCCTCCTAGGGGTTGTGGCAACCCCAGGGGCCCTCCTAATGGCGGTGGTATCGCCATGGGGTTCTCCCATGGATGGTGGAGCCCCAAGGGTCCCTTCCAGGGGTCCTCACAACAGCAAAGGCTCCCCCATGAGTCCAACCAATGGCGTGGCGCCCCCAGGGGCCCTCCCAGGGGCAGCGGCATCCATAGGAGTCCTCCCAAGGGCAGTTGCGTCCCCAGCGGCCCTCACAGAGATGGCGGGGGCCCCCAGCAGCCCTCCTGCGGCCAACGAGAACCGTCCAAGAGGTGATGGCCACCCCGCGGCCCTTCTAGAGCTAGTCTAACATCCACTAGCCCTCTCAGGGGCATCAGCGACCCCAAAGACTTGATTGTGGTGTCGTACATATTGAATTCGTCCAGCAATCCCTTACTTAACTGTGATTCGTCGACTAAAATGTAAACACAAGAAATTTCAGCCAATAGGAGAACAGAGCAGTCAGTCAGCACAACACCCCAACTTATGTTTTCCTGTTGGATATTTACTCACCTTTTACTGTTCAAGATGCGATGATACTGGAAATGAGACGGGCGATGTATTTATTTAACGCCATATCTCTCTCACAGTTCTTAATGGTGCAAAAACAACTGCCCCCAGGGAAACTCTCAGGGGCGACAGCATCCCAAGGTGCCATCTCACCTACTAATCAGGGCCTGCGGCGCCTTATGATCCCTCCTCGGGGTTGTGGCAGCGCCAGGGGCTCTCCCAATGGCGGAGGGCATCGCCAGGGGTTCTCCCAGGGGTAGCGCAGCACCCAGGACCCTCCCAGGTGTCCCCCAAGGAGCAAAAGTTCCAACAGGAATCCTCCCAATGGCGTGGCACCCCCGAGGGCGGCGGCGCCACCAGGGGTTCTCCAAGGGGCGGCGGCGCTTCCAGAAGCCCTATCAGGGGCTGCGGCTCCCCTAGGCGCCCTCCCAGGGGCGGCAGCGCCCCTAGGGGAACTCCCAGATGGGACGATAACCCTCGGAGCCCTCCCAAGGGCGGTTGCGTCCTCAGCGACCCTCCCAGAGACGGTGGAGCCCCCAGGAGCCATCCTAGGAGCGGCGAAAACCCGCCAAGAGGTGATGGCCACCCCGGGGGCCCTTCTAGAGCCGGTCTAGCCTCCAGGGGCCCTCCCAGGGGCAGCAGCGACCCCAAATGCTTGATTGTAGTGTTGTACATATTGCATACGTCCAGCAATCCCTTACTTAACTGTGATTGGTTGACTAAAATGTAAACACACCAAATTACAGCCAATAGGAGAACAGAGCAGTCAGTCAGCACAACACCCCAACTTATGTTTTCCTGTTGGATATTTACTCACCTTTTACTGTTCAAGATGCGATGATACTGGAAATGCGACGGGCGATGTATTTATTTAACGCCATATCTCTCTCACAGTTCTTAATGGTGCAAAAACAACTGCCCCCAGGGAAACTCCCAGGGGCGACAGCACCCCAAGGTGCCATCTCACCTACTAATCAGGGCCTGCAGCGCTTTATGATCCCTCCTCGGGGTTGTGGCAGCGCCAGGGGCTCTCCCAATGGCGGAGGGCATCGCCAGGGGTTCTCCCAGGGATAGCGCAGCCCCCAGGAACCCTCCCAGGTGTCCCCCAAGGAGCAAAAGTTCCAACAGGAATCCTCCCAATGGCGTGGCACCCCCGAGGGCGGCGGCGCCACCAGGGGTTCTCCAAGGGGCGGCAGCCAGAAGCCCAATCAGGGGCTGCGCTCCCTAGGGCGCCTCCCAGGCGGCAGCGCCCCTAGGGGAACTCCCAGATGGGACGATAACCCTCGGAGCCCTCCCAAGGGCGGTTGCGTCCTCAGCGACCCTCCCAGAGACGGTGGAGCCCCCAGGAGCCATCCTAGGAGCGGCGAAAACCCGCCAAGAGGTGATGGCCACCCCGGGGGCCCTTCTAGAGCCGGTCTAGCCTCCAGGGGCCCTCCCAGGGGCAGCAGCGACCCCAAAGGCTTGATTGTAGTGTTGTACATATTGCATACGTCCAGCAATCCCTTACTTAACTGTGATTGGTTGACTAAAATGTAAACACACCAAATTTCAGCCAATAGGAGAACAGAGCAGTCAGTCAGCACAACACCCCAACTTATGTTTTCCTGTTGGATATTTACTCACCTTTTACTGTTCAAGATGCGATGATACTGGAAATGCGACGGGCGATGTATTTATTTAACGCCATATCTCTCTCACAGTTCTTAATGGTGCAAAAACAACTGCCCCCAGGGAAACTCCCAGGGGCGACAGCACCCCAAGGTGCCATCTCACCTACTAATCAGGGCCTGCAGCGCTTTATGATCCCTCCACGGGGTTGTGGCATCGCCAGGAGTTCTCCCAGGGGTAGTGGAGCCCCCAGGGACCCTCCCAGGTGTCCCCCAAGGAGCAAAAGTTCCATCAGGAATCCTCCCAACGGCGTGGCACCCCCAAGAGCGGCGGCACCACCAGGGGTTCTCCAAGGGGCGGCGGCACTCCCAGAAGCCCTATCAGGGGCTGCGGCTTCCCTAGGGGCCCTCCTTAGAGATGGCAGCGACCCTAGAGGCTCTGCCAGAAGCGGTGGCGCCACAACGGGCCCTTCCACTGCCGACGGCGCCCCTCAGGGGCTCTCTTTAGCGCCAGCGGTGCCCCCATGTGCCCTCCCAGGGGTGGTGGCACTTCCAGGCGCCCTCCCAGGGGCGGCAGCGCCCTTAGGGGAACTCCCAGATGGGACGATAATCCTGAGAGCCCTCCCAAGAGCGGTTGCATCCTCAACGGCCCTCCCAGAGACTGTAGAGCCCCCAGGAGCCATCCTAGGAGCGGCGAAAACCCTCGAAGAGGTGATGGCCACCCCGGTGCCCTTCTAGAGCCGGTCTAGCCTCCAGGGGCCCTCCCAGGGGCAGGAGTGACCCCAAAGGCTTGATTGTAGTGTTGTACATATTGCATACGTCCAGCAATCCCTTACTTAACTGTGATTGGTTGACTAAAATGTAAACACACCAAATTTCAGCCAATAGGAGAACAGAGCAGTCAGTCAGCACAACACCCCAACTTATGTTTTCCTGTTGGATATTTACTCACCTTTTACTGTTCAAGATGCGATGATACTGGAAATGCGACGGGCGATGTATTTATTTAACGCCATATTTCCCTCACAGTTCATAATAGTGCAAAACCAAATGCCTCCAAGGAAACTTCCAGGGGCGACAGCGCCCTAAGGGGCCCTCCCAGGGGCTTCGTCAGGGGACATATTAGGGGCAGTGGCGCTTTATGGGCCTTCTTAGAGGTGGTGGCAGCACCATGGGCTCTCCCATTGGCGGGGATATCGCCAGGGGTTCTCCCAGGGATGGTGTAGCGCCCAGGTTCTATCGTAGGGGTCCTCCCCGGGACTAAGGCTTCCCCAGCAGTCCTCTCAAAGGCTTGGCGCCCCCAGGGGGCCTCCCATGGGTGGCGGCGCCTCCAGGGGTTCTCCCACGGGCGGCGGCGCTGT